AGCTCAAATATGCTTGCAAGTATAGCTAAAAGATGAAGCAAAATAAAGCCTTAAAAAAGAGAAAGTGTGTTACCCTTGTAGCACAAAAGGACCAGCAACCTCTGGACCACAAAGACAGCGTCTCAACCTCTGAAAATGGCCTCCAAGATGCTTAGAGTGATGGTGGAGGGGTTAGGTTGGGAGATGGTATGCAAAGGTGCACGAACCATGCACTTTTGAGCTTGGATGTAGAGATATAGAGGGAGAAGTCTTGTATGCCTTAGAAAAAAAATTTTGAACCCCCTACAAGGAAGGGGAGCCCTTTCTTTATAGACAAGAGGGACTAAAGCTTCTCCTAGAAGCTTAAAACCAAGGGCAAACATCCTCCATACACATATGGAGGATGTAGTCTGTGCCTCCCAGCTGGCACAACTGGAATCAACTCACTGAGACAGAACTGATGGGAGCTGGCCGACCAGTTCAAGTGGTCGGCCGACCACTTACCCTGGTCGGCCAACCAGGGTCAAAAGGTTCAAGTGGTCGGCAGCCTCCCAGGGTGGTCTCCACATGAAATGCAAGCAAGTGGTATGGTGGGAGACCAGTAAATGTGGCCCAAAAACCAAGGAAGTGATGATTGCTTTTGATGACGGCAAAATTGCAAGATCTAAGCTTTAATCTGGTCAGAATTTGGAATCGAGTCAAGGGGTTAAATATTTGAATGTTGGAATTCTCCATTCTCATTCTCAATAAATGCTGTGGTAAATTTTATGACTCTGCTGGATCAAAACAAGACGTAGGGGAAGATCCAATGAATAATGTTTGCCCAGAAAGAAAAATCACAGGAACCTAAGGCTAGTCGTTAATCCAATTACCATCTTGATGATCAGATAATGCTCAATTCTACTGACCCTGATCATCTTCATCTGGGAAATGTTTTTAAGAAATTTTATTTTATTTTATTTTATTATTTTTTTTTTTTGGAACTTTTTTTTTAAAAAAAATTATTGTGTATTTACTCTTTAAGCCCTAGGCTAAGACCATAAAAATTTTAAAAAATGGACCCATATAAAAAAATAAATAAATAAATAAAACTAAAACAACACAGGAAACCGTACAAAAACACACTGAGCATTTTCGAAATTATTATTATTTATTTATTTATTCATTTTACCACACTAGTATTTCATTTTTTAATTTTTTTTTTGTTAATGACAGTGCTTATTAAACTAACACAACATGGCACTCGCAGCACAACCTAATTCAGCACATATAAGTAGATGTGACAAGTAAGTAGAGCAAAATTGCCATTAAAAAGCAATTTATGATCATTTACAACTTTCTAGGCTCAGAATGTTTCTTAATAAAAGGTAATCACACTTAAAAGATTCATCATACACTTTCTAGGCTTTGCAGAGTTGAGATGATTTCATCATATTTTACTCTTTCTAACAAGTTAGTGACTATAATAATTATTTTAACAAAAAAATTTAAGGTTGATTGTTTTGGAGTATTGGAACGCTTTTTAAATAATTTGTGTGAATAAATAAATAAAAATAAATAGTGGCGTTGAAGTATAGATGAAAAAATATTTAGGTAAAAATAATTAGTGTATATTTCTTTTGGGGGGTATTTTTACGAGCAAAAAATGAGAAGTATTATTAGAGTTGTTAAGAAATCATTCGACAACGCTCTTAATCAAATTGAAACTAATAGGGAATCATGATTAATGATTATATCATACATCTTTTCTATTAATTAGTAAATTCTAAAAATATTTCAAGGACAAGTGTGTAAGAAGCAAGGATAATCCCCTAAGAAGTCTAGCAAACATTTACATGGTAAATCTTCATTCTTTCTTTCTTGAGAAGCGGGTACTGTAACACGATCACAGTGAGATGGTGGCTTCCAGTTCCAAGTCAGAACAATGAAGAGGAGGCAAATACTAAAAATAAATTATTGAGTTAATTGGGTTTAAATACTCATAATAAAATGAAATGCTTTATTTTTATATATTTATATATTTTGGTGAATTAGATGAGTCAATAAATCGACAGGGCTAACTTGGCCAAAATCTTTGGAATTCATCAGGATGTTAAGAGTTCAAATCTTTTCATCTGTGCGTTCATATTGTGAGAGTTTTCTTTACATTAATTATTTATTATTATAATTGAATTATAATTTTAGAGTGAAAAAACTAATACATTTTTCAAAATCTTAACTTAAATGCAATTTCCTCAATAAAGTCTAATTTCGTAAGTTTGGATTGATTTTTTGAATCAGTAGTTCGGTTCCAAATTAGAAATTTAAAAATCCGTAAGTCATAGATCGGTTCCGAATTGAAACCGTTCCGGACTATATACAAATAATTTATATTTATATTATAGACCCTTCCACATAATATGATTTCTTATTTCATATAAAAGTTAAACCAATTTTCTTATTATTTTTGTCTGATGATATGCTTAGTTTTAATACTGAGGAGAACTCTGCTTTGTGTAATGTGTATATCCAGTTTTGTTGCTTTTGTTTGTTGCTTTTTTTTATTGCTTTTGTTTGATACTATATTTACGTTTTTATGAAATTAAAATGTTGTATTTTTTTTTGTTAATTAATTATGTGAATCCGTATTCCTAAACCGATCCAATCCATGTTCAAATGGATTGGTTTGGATTGGTTCCACGATTTAAACAAATTGGATTGGTTCCAATTTTTCAGAAATCGTAGATAACGGATTGACCCTGATTTTACTCTAATCCGGACCAATTTGGACCATATTCACCCCTAGAGAGAGATACACTTGGAGGGTAGGATCAGAAAGGGCAATGGGTGTATCGCCTTTTCTCGGAATTGAAATTGGTTCTCACTAGGCCAAGCCATGAATGGAACCAACCTTTTATCTTTCGGGGACCAGAACTTAAATAAAAATGTGAGTAATGTTAAAGATTCACAATTTATCACAATTATATGACAATGAATTGGGCATTATATGGTTGAATTTGTGACCCTCCCCCCAAAAAAAGTAACATGTAATTTGCAATCAAGAAAATAGTCCAAAAGAAAAAAAGAAAAAAAAATTAAGATTAAAAGAAGAGAGAAAATATAAAATATAAGAATAAAAAAAATTACAAAAGACAAAAGAAAGAGAAGAGCACATGAATTGCTTTAAAGTAAAAAAAAAAAATAGAATAAAGAAGAGTTGGGGGCCAATACACCTCACATAGGTAATAGCAAAAATAAAAAAAAAAAGAAAAAGAAAAAGAAAAAGAATTCATAGGTAGTCAAGCCAAAAGCAGAGGGGCCACGGCCCCTTATAGTCTCCACATAGATCTGTCATTGGATATTTGCCTTTTTCTTATAGGTTTCAAGTCTTGAAACTTTGTTGTGGTCTACTCTGAAGCTAATGATGCTTTGGGTTATCTTTATGGACTACAGGCCCCGTTTGTTTTCAGAGGTAAAATGGAGGAGATTCATAGTGAGGTGATTGTTAGTGAGGGGATTAAGTAAAATTGTGTTTGTTTTGATGATAGTTGTTAGTGTAGGAATTGTTAAATTATTTTTATATAAAATAATAAAACAAATAAAAATATATAAAAAATTAAACATTAATGTTTAAAAAAAAAATTCCCAATATTTAAAAAATAAAAATAAATAAATAAAATTCTAATCCTTTCACTATTTTTCTAATACCACCTCCATCTCCTTCATCTCAATCCCCCTTCCAACTTTCATCTTAATCCCCTCCTCCATCTTAATCTCCCTTCCAACTTCCATCTTAATCCCCTCCTCCATCTTAATCCCTTCCCCAACTCTACAAACAAACACAATACTAAATGGCTCCACCTCCATCCTGATCCCCTCCCATCCTTTACACCCCAAAACAAACAGGGCCATAAGGTTTGAATGGTTTTTTTTTTCCCGATAAACATCTCTTCGCAATTGTATGTTTTATAACAAAACACAATTGTGCTGATCACTCATTAGGTACACAACCATATTGAGTGTTTTTTTCATGAAGTCAAGCATCATCTATGTTATTGATTTTTGTTGTTATAGAGCATTATTGGACCTTATCAAGTTAATTTAACATGTAACGCTAAGAAATAACATAGGTACTAGTTTTACTTTTTCCCAAATGCATGTTAACATATGATCAAAGAATTCAAGAATTTTAACTATTGGCAATTTCTTTTCATGTGAAAGTTACATCTTTTTAGTTGATGGGATAGTTTTTGAACAATTCCATTCCCTTTGGGAAAAGAAAAAGAAAAAGCAATCATTATTGAACAAATTTAGCTTTTGTTTAATTGTTTGCTTGGGTTCAATTTATGCGGAATTGAAAATTAGTATATCAACCTTCGTTCCATCATCTAATGAACAAATAGAAGTTACTTTTATTAAGTTCAGGTGTGAAATCCGAACTCACGAGCAATGTAGAGAGGAGTTTTGACCCATGAAGCATTTATTGACCATGTGTTTTATTTATTTATTCCCTTTTTGTCTCATTTATTGACTCTTTATTTTTTCTTTGTTCTATTTTTTATCATTTGACTTTTTTTTTTTCCTGACATTTCTTTTATTTAGTTAAAAAAGGAGTAATAGTGATGAGTGACCAAACCTTTGGTTTGTTATTTTTTTTCTTATCAAATGAAAGTCTTTGAATTAGATTTTCAAAGGAAAACAAGCTGAAAGGGAAAGTGGTAGTTATGTGTCATTATCATGCGTATAGTGAAATGGAGTGAATAAAAGTTACTGAAAGTCTATAATGAGTTACTTATTTTTGAAGAAAATGAATGAAAATTATAGTTCCAATAGTAAAAAATAAACAATTCATTGCATTGTTCAGTCTTCCACAGTGGCCCCAAGTTCCAATAATTAGAAAAACTCAAAACATTTACTTGGAAAAACGTAGAATACTTGAATGTGTCAAGTTGATTTGTGTTGGAATTTACATTTGACAGAGTGATCAAAACATATCAAGCAACAATTTAGTTTTTTAATCATTGTAGGCTTTGTGAAAACAGGATGAAGAGAAATGGTGTGCAAGAAGATCATAGATTATGAATAGGAAAGGTTGTTGAAGGACCTTATCCCAAAAAAGGTTGTTGAAGCAGCATTAGAAGAAGCTTGACGACATCAAATTGGGCATTAAATAAGCACAAGGTGCATGTGATTTCTTAGATTTGCAAATGTAATTTTGCATGAGTACCATGTCTTTGCAAATTAATTTCATGGCTCCTCAATGATGAGCTTCTGGAATGGGTTGTGATTCTTGGCAATAGTTTCCCAATAACCAGTTGTATTGTATTGACAATGTTTATGATTCGTTCAAAATGAGTTTTGACCCTTCTTTTTTTCTTTTTTTTCTTTTTTTTTTTTTTTTTTTTTTGTGTGGTTGGTATTCTGAACAGCTACATGGGTTTCGATAATCTTGTTTGTATTTGTTAATGTATTGTGTTATCCTATATCTAGTGTCCTCCGCAATTAAGTGTGAGGCTGTGTTTTGATATTGGTTAATCTCTTTGAAAATTGGTTTGATTGTGCAACTAATTATGCATACAAGCCACAAGTCTTGGTTGAAATTGACTTTGGCAATTGAACCGATTATGCATACATATCATTCGTAAAACTTAGTTGACTACATAAAACTAAGCCCAACTTTACAAGCCAATCAATTTTGCACATATCATTCGTAAAATTAAGTCCAACTAAGTGTTTTATAATTGACTACGTAATCAATTATATAACTATTTGTCTATTAGTCATTCCAACTCATAATTGAAAGCCAATATTGTGTATAAAATCTAATTATTTTTTTAATGTTGACATAGTTGTTGCAAATTACATTTGTCGCATTTCCTCTGCATTTATTGTGAATAAAATGAATTCTTTTTATTTTCTTAAAAGGTATTATTGTATTATTTTGTGAAAAATAACAATTATATCTCTGTCAAAATTCTATTTCGATTCAAATATATGAAAAACTCAATTAACAAGATAAAAATTTAATTGTCAATAAAACTTCATCTATTCATCATAAAAAAAGGATGCAAAAAGAAGGTTAACCCAATGTCCATGCAACAGACACATTTGAGGAAAACCCAATCAGTATTAAACATCTAATGACCACTGGAATATAGTCAGTAACCAAGCAAATACAAAGTTGCAGCCAAAATTAAATTAAGAAAAAGGAAAATTCAAATCAAAATTTAAATTTTCTTGTTTTTGAGAGGCAATAGCTCCATTTGTTGTAGCATCCATAGGCTAGGCTTCTGCAGACGCCTCAACCTTGCCACCCTTCTTACTTGCAAACGCGAACAATTAGGATTCATGTGAGTGTGTAGTAGTACAATTTGATTTGCATGCTTAAATGAGTTGTTCCAAAGTTTATAATCAGTCTTTCTGGGATATAATGCTAGCATACCTTTCAAAGGTGTGAGTTGTTCTAAAGGTGTGATTCTGCAATTTTAAATAAGTTCAAAGGTGTGATTGTGCAATTTTTCCATCATAGTTTTTAACCGTGATAAAAAAAAATAAAAAAATCTGGAATCAAATGTTAAATGTGACTAGTAGCAATAAGATCTGAAAGACCAACAAACATTTCAGTGCAAAAATAATTTTAAAAAATAAAAATAAAATAACGCTCCTAGAAAAGATAAATTACATCCACTAGATATTATTCCGAGAAACCTAAAACTGCATCAGTGACAGTACTCAATAATTCGTGAAAAGGAAAACAACATCAATTAATCATTTGAGACTCAAAGAGAAAGTTGAAGTGACATACTTTGTCTCAAAGTATAAATGTGAAATAGAATGTTGTACCCACAATTACACAGCATCCACAATTATACAATGCTTGCATATATATGGCAAATCTACATAAAAACTAAGAAACTAACTTGGGATAAGATAATGGGGCCTTGGGATGCATAGAGTTTTCTTGCTTCATCATGTCCACAATCTTGGTTGTAAATTGCTTCACTTCTGCCTAAAACAGAAGTACAATGAGTATATTTAGGCCATCAATTTAAAACTTAATAGCTAGACAAAGTGAGAGGGAATACCTTGAATGGCTCATTATCAATTCGAAACTGAATTCCAGGTATGAAATGCAACCAAAGAGGAAACCCATTGTTCAAAAACAAAGTCTATAAGGAAAAGTTTACTGATAAATTGTTGGTTTGTATACTATACAATAGATTGGAACAAAATTTTATAAGCTTTACCAATAGTTCCATTTAACACAAACATGACGACTAATACCTAGATGAGCATCTAAACCAGCTTCAGCAACCAATTTAATAGATTTAACGAAGAAAGATCCTAACTGAGTACGGCAACTTATCTGTAATGGATACAGGAGCAACAAAGAAATGTTTGGCAAGTCATTTGTGCCACAAAAGGAAGACCTTATAACCTAGAAACTGTGAGAAGGCTACCTAAAAAAGTATATTTAATTAAAGATTTCATTGTTCTATATAAATCTTAGGACTTATTATATAAATATAATCAATTTTGGTTGGGAATCCAAAAACAAGACTGAAAATGGCTCAAAATTATACATAAAACTACAATGACACAGGGAAAGAAGAAATCATTTCAAATAATTTATAAAATCTTAAGCAACATGGCAAGTTGGCAACTGACTTTAGAATAAAGGGAACTTACTTCTCCTTACTTTCTTTTCCTTTCCCCTCCCCCCCTCTTCTCAAAATGGCCCAATTATGGAGATATGCTTCAAGAGAACTTGAAAATAGAGTTAAAAATTGTTAAAGATTGGATATTTTGTAATTATAAAAAATACTTTGGGTTCTTTTTGGCCATTACCAAAACACTTTATCAAGTTCTTATTTGCAAAAGAGTTAATGAGGTGATGGGAAAATAGTACATAAGAAAGGGCACCACGTTACAAACTGATGGGAAAATGTGAAATAATTACAATTACACAGGAGGGGTTATAGAACTCTAATAAGCATATAGCATATTTATTAGGATACAGGTTAGAGTGTAAATCCTTTAGAAATTAGGCCAAATTTCTGCACTAATAAATCAAGATAGATATGGAGGTCTGTTAGGTTTTTATTCTTGGCAATCTCGTTTGACAAAACTCCTTTTAGTTGTAATTTTGTTCGTTCTTTTATTTCAGTGAGGCTATGAGTTTTAGATGCGAATCCAACCCGAATTGTGCTTTGTAGAGAAGTTTGTGATGTTTATACTATCATGTTTGCCACTTCGCTGAGTATGTCGGGGATCGAGTTGCCCCGGTCAGCTCGCCGGGGTCCAGGGGGCAGCACCCAGGAGGGGTCGAGAGGTAGTGCCCCCGAAGCAAAATGCAAAAATGCATTCGAAGTTGCTTGTCTGCTTAAGTGGCCATTTGTGCGCTCAAGCGAAGAACGTTTGATTTCAGAAGTTTGAGCTGTCTACAAAAGCACTGGAAGTTGGGATTTTACGCTCGAGCAAACTTTCCTAAGCTCGAGTGAGGTCCGCTCGAGCGGCCATTCTTGCGCCCGAGCAGAGATCACGGATCAGTTTTCTATAAATATGTGGTTTCATCTGTTTTTAGGGTTACGACTTCCATATCTTCTTCTTGGATATTGGGGTTTATATCTGGAGCCTCTTTGCTAGTTTCTTTGATGTTTATTTGAGTTTAACTCATGGTTTGAAAAGTATACATCAAAGGATTGTTTGTTTCGTTCAATACAAAAGAAAGAGTTGCTCTTCGGTGTGTTCCGGGGAATTTGTGCCTGAAGCTTTGGTGGGTTCTAGAGTGGCTCATCGTCGTGGATTTGACATCGGCGTTGTAGATTCAACGTTGGACAAGACAATTCCGAGGTGAAGATGGGGTTGGAAGAGGCACCTAGTGGTCGGTTCAATTCGGGCGTGGATTTGTTAGGTAATTGAGAGTACACTTGTATAATTCCTTTATATCTTCTTAGTGGATTGTTTTGTGGTTGTTGCCCGTGATTTTTTTATCACAATTGGAGGCGCTCCAATTGTGGTTTTTCCACGTAAAATCTTTGTGTCGATTTGTCTTTAATTTTTTGATTGGGATTGGTATTAACTATTTAAAATTGATACATAATCACAAATCAATATATAGGGGATTTCTAGATTTTTCATTTTGGAATTTAAGTTTATGAAGGTATGACGCTTGGACGTGCAACCGTACCCGATACTCGTACCCGACTCCATCTACTACACCTAAAATCTTTATTTGATGCTTTCCTTCATCACCATCAACTACAAGAATAGGGAAATTCCACCTTGATAGGTCAAAATGACAGGTTAGCTTTTGTTGCCTATTCAGCCTACTTTTCATCCTACTGAAGTTAATGATGAGAGGCAGCATATTGTTCTTAAGGAAACAAAGTACTTGCGGAAGGCATAATGGAGCATGATGGCCATAATGATAGACCTAACAGCATCTAGATTGATTTGCAGCTGAAGAAAGCATAAAGGAATGCTACAAGCAATATTCTAAAGTTGAGGAAGTCAAAGAAAACGACAAAAACATAGCCCGATAGTGAAAAGAATGAGGATGCCCTTGACTTCCTAGACATTCCAACCATTTAATTTGTTATTCCAAACTAGTTCAAAATCAATGGATTGTTGGAAAAGTCAGGCCCATTTTTCTTTTCGTTGCTTCAACTCGAGGATGAGTTTTTCTTTTTTATTGTGGGGGGGAATGATGAGCATGGAAAGAAAAGGGGTAAATTTAAAATTTCATATGAAGTACATTTTGAACATTGCGTAATTATGTTTAGGGTCAATTTGAGCCTTATTTCTTGTATTATTGCTAGATAGTTTTTTTGGACTTTTTATTTGGTTTTAGGTATCAGGGGTGTTTTAATATTTTTACATGCTAGACTTGAGCTGCTTCTGCTGGGTCTAATTATGTTATTTTGTTATATGAAATCTTTAATTGGTTTAACTTATTGTTGTCAAAATTTCTTAATTTTCTAATTTTGGAGTTATTGTTCTACACTCCTAGTATAATTAATAGAACAAAATAACCTAGAAATATTATGTAGTTCTTTGATTCTACAGAGTTGAGTTTTAGAGAATTTGTGTGAGGCGTTTATGGCTGTGTAGTACTTCGTGCAATCTTGCCTTTGGAGGTTATTCATAAAGAATTCTAATTTGGATTCCTAGAGAGTTTTCTTGTTCCCCTCTTCTTGTTTCTTCTTTGTTCAAAAAACAGTATTCTCGGGTAACTATTCAGAGCCCTGGAAAAGTCCCCTTTTCAACTCAAACTGTAATAATCAAGCCTAAAACAATCCCAGTCCTTTCCTCTACCCTTTGGCCATTAATCCACACCATAATGCCATAAAGTAGTTGATATCTAGTGAATTTCTGCAGCTCTTACCAGAAATACTGTGACCTATCCTAACTTCAAAAAATCAACCAAATTTTAGTTTTCCCTCTCCTTCAATCTTTTTCAATCCTAACCCTAGAATCTGTTACTAATCTGCAGCTTTTTGTTTTACCTATAAAATGTAAGAATATTTTCTACTAGTAGTGGAATGTGTTTGCTTTTAATTTAATGTTCAATTCTTCAACCTTTTCAATAGCATAAAAGTAAATTTTCTCAAAGCATATGGTTATTGGATTTTTTTAATTACTGCAGGTTAAAACAGCTGATACAGGGTATATGTCTCGTAGGCTGATTAAAGCTTTGGAGGACCTATCCATTCAATATGATAACACAGTACGAAATGCTAGCGGATGTATAGTTCAATTCGTTTATGGTGATGATGGTATGGATCCGTCACAAATGGAAGGGAAAGGTGGAGTTCCCTTGAATTTTGAGCGATTACTTTTGAAAGTCAAGGTATGAGCCTTTCTTTGTGTCTTTGTACTAGTTTTTTTGTGGAGATTGAACATGAAAATGTGTTGATTTGCATCCTTTTTACAGGCTACATGTCCTCCTGGAGAACACAAAAGCTCCTCTCCTTCAGAAATTCTTGAATATGACATGACTCCTGATGGAGGTTGCTCTGATGCCTTCAAAGAGTCATTGTCTGAATTTATTCAAGAATGCAGTAGAAGATTAAAAAGGACAAGAAAAGCACTCAAATTGGATGATGAGCAAGTTGAGGGAGAAAATTGCAATATTCTTGAAAATGTTGCTCAAAATATATCTGGTGTTACTTCCAGGCAGCTACAGGTATTTAATATGTTAACCCTATCTGTTTTTTTGGCTAGTTTCACTTTTTCCTTGATGACTTCCTTACTCTAAATAAATGCTTTCAGGTTCTGTTTCTCAAGAAATTAATTCTTCTAGAAAATTTTTTGGGTAACATCTTAGATTAACAAAAACATTTTTTCGGATTTTCTTTTGTATGGTACCGAACACAATTTTTTATTATTTTTATTATTAATTTTTTTGTAGAGAAATATTTTTATGTCTAATTTCTTTGATAAAATATATGTTTAAATTAATATCACATAGATACTAAACTGGCTGTACCATTTTTTTTAGTTGAGTAATCACATAGATCAAATGAAGAAACATGCAATTGTCCTTTTATCTTTGTGAAAAAAGAGTAAATTATAGACAAGAAGACTATGGGTTTTATGATAATTGGAAATCTATTATTTTCTTTTGTTGTTAATCATTGAACATTCATCAATACAGCCCTAATGATAATTTAGAAGGTTCAATGGTTCAATGGTTCTATTTTTTGCTTTGTTTTATTTTGTTTTTATAGTTGGATGTGGGTTTTACTAGTCATGAGAGAGTGAAAAAGTCACGTGGAAACATAACATATAAGGGCATTGAGAGAGAGATTGTTGAGATTTGGATTCTTTTTTAAACGTTTGACCTAAATATTAGCTATTCTATTCATATGGAAAACAACTTCTAAACCAAAATATGGGATGTTTTTTCCAAATTTTTTCCATTTTCTTAAAAATCTTTTAATCCCTCTAGATGTTTAGGTTTTCTTGAAAAGCAACAAAGCAAAATTTGGCATTTTCAAGGAATTTCATTTTTTTTTCTTGCATTCTTTAGTGAAACAAATATAGCAATAGTTTTTTTTTTTTTTTTTTTTAAATATTATTTACTTTTGTGGAACATTGTAATTTATTATTATTTTTGGTTGTGTTTCAAACATCAATTCTGGATCACAGTGGTGTGTGTAACTCACTGTTTTACACATTTACTTTTCTATTTACATGTAATGCGTTCTTTTAAACAAATAATTGACATCAAGAATCGATCTAATTGTTAAAATGGGTTGGATTGAATGTCTCCTTTGGCATATTTTGGAGGAACTAAATTTCTGACCTGACTTGTCTTTTGATAATCTTAGATCTTAGAAACTCTATCGTAAACTCATAAAAATCTTACTTATCAAAACAAAAATAAATCACAAAAATCCTGGATAGAGTCATTCCAATTGAGTTGGAAAACTGGAGCTGACGGGTTTTTTAGGTGGGGGATCTTTTCAATATGATTAAGATCTACTTCATAATTTTGCATGATTTTCGGTTTCATTTTTCCTCCCCTATAATGGTTGAACCAAGCACTCACCAATAGATGCAAGTAAGTTGCTCTCTTTACAATATTTGTCACTCATTCATCTATCACCATTGCTGTGTCACAGCTTCTAGAACCTTCTTGTTCATGTTTGTGATTGCAGCCTTTTTCCCACTAACCAGTGAAATACACAGTTATTACAATGTTCCATTTCCAACATTTTTGTACTATAAAGCATGGCTGATCTTATAGTTGTTTGGTAAAATTTTCCTGATAATCTCATGGGTATGCTTAAATTAGACAAGAGACCTGAAACATCCCTCCACTTGGTTCATCCTACCTTAATTTTATGATGTTATCTCCCACAATATGTGCAATCGAGCTTAGTTATCAAAATTGTTCACTTGTGAGTCGTGATATTGAAATTATACTCGGTAGTTTAAAATTGTACGTCACAAGTTTAAAATTGTTCACTTCTTCTGTATAATTGAGCCTAGATATAAAAAAATATACTCACTACAAGAAAGAAAATGGTTTATTTTTGAAATGTTTATCACTTTCAGTGATGGTCCATAATGTGATCTCTAACCACTTACATCTCATCTTGTCACCTTGACAAGTTCCATTGTGTAGATCAATTGTGCCATAATCATCTAGTGTTCGTTATTTGGTTCCAAATGCAGTCTCTCAATGAAAATGTTGTCTGAATGTTCACCAATAGTTTACAAATCAGATATGACGCTATTTAATTTGTGTGGATCTTCCTGTACACCTGGTCTGCATACTAGATTTTCCTTCCTTTTCTTTTCCGAGGAGGAGGATGTTTGGTGATTTCCTTGATTTCTTGACAATGCTTATAAGAATAGCTTGTAAAGATGCAGTCCCTTGCCTCAGGAAAATCGGAAGGAGACTAGACCATGGATTGAATTTAGTCCAAACCTTAATGAGACAATAATTGAATGTCACGAAATTTGCAGAAGGCTAGAAATGATGAAATTTATAAATTTGAAACAAACTGTGTATACATGTGTGAAAGACAGAGGTAATAGGAGAAGCTAATTTTGAAGCATACAATGAATCTACACTAGTTTTGGTTTGGTCAAATGGATGGAAGAAGGGTACCTTTTTTTTTTTTGCAAGTAGTTTTATTTTTGGTAAGTCACTTGGATTCTTGCTCACTAAGAGTGGAATACTTTGAAATTTTAATATTGTTAAGTGGATCTTAAGTGAGGAATTTGAGGGTCTTAGTCAAAGGTGAAGAATTAAAGATTGGTGAAGTTGCTTGCTTGGATAGTGGCACGTGTGGAGATTTGTACCATCGACACCTTAGAACACGAAGAAGAAGATAGATTCAAGTAAATTTTGCTGTGTAAGAAGGATGGGGAGTTGGTAAGTCAGCTACTTGTACATTGTGAGGTAGCTAGAGATTTGTGCTCTTTGGTCCTTGTTGGTTGGTGTGGATTGGGTCTTCCCAAATGAGATGCTGGATCTTTTTTACTCGTGGAATAGAGCAAAGGTAGGGAAAAGGAGAAGGGCATGGAACTTGGTTATGTTTGCTCTAATATGGATTATTTGGAGGGAACAGAATAAGAGGACTTCCAATGGTATGGAGATGTTGTGCTTCAAGGTGCAAAGTTTGTTTCTATTTATTTTGTGTAGTTGGTTCTCAGGTGCTTGTGAACCATCCTAGGCTCAAATTTTGGAATTTGTAGTCTTTTCAAGGAAGTGTATGTGGGAAAGATTATGGCAGATCATCGCTGGAAGACTAACAAGCTAATGGAAAGAATAGAGACAACATGGAGAAAATTGTAAAATGTAGCGGCTTGTACCAACTGAAAGAGCCCTTCTTTGGGGACATTGGCCAACTATTCTCCTCCACGTTAATTGACCTAATATGCAAGAAATGCCTCAAAGAGATAAGTAACTCCAAAATCTTCCTAAATATGTTGAGTTGTGGAATTGTGGAGTGGAGGTACCTTTGAGAATGGGGAAAATTGTTATTCTTGGGTATCATCACCATATTATCTTCTTAAATTTTTTTTGTGCTTGAATATTATCATAAAGAGGATATGCACAACATCATTTTTTTAATTTTTTATTTTATTTAACTAGTAAATTTCATTAAAAAGAAAGCACCATCTACCCATACATTATGATGTGCACAACATCACTCAAAATATTTCCTAGCTTTTGCTAAATTCAATTAAGGTTTGTTTTTTATAACAAATTTTTGGGTTGCTTGATATGAAAAGTATGAGTAGTTTTTCCATTTAACTGCATTTCATACTGCATGTGAATACCTTATAGGGACAAATTCACCAAAAAGGTCGGAAGTTCAAGACAGAGAGACTTGACTCTTCACATAAGGTTAAATTTTCTCAATGAAAGTTGGCTTTAAAATGTATATGAACTGGGAATTTCTCTTAAATTTTCAGTTCCAAACACAATTCCTAAAGCTTCCAGCAGTACTTAATTAGTCGTAACCATTTTAGTGCCAAAATTTCATTTTTCATCAAATTGGTTTTTTGTTTGTATGTAGTTAATACTAATTTTGAGTATGATTTTGTCTAGCATTTTTTGAAAATTACCATGTCAACATGTCTGTATCCGTATCGTGCCATGTGTCTATGCCTCTTAGTCAACCACTATACCAATCTTACTTGTGCTTTCTATGTTTGTAACATTTTTTAAGGGAGTTAAATATGTTCTCAAATAATATCATTCTTCCAACTATTATTAATAATACTCTATTTAAATATAAATTCTCTTTACTCCCATGTTGTTTAGCCTTGGAGCCCTTTCCCTTGTTTAAAAATAGGCAAAAAATTCCCTCATGGTTTTGGACTAAATTGCAAAACTAACTCTGTTGATGGTAGATAG